GAGAGAAAAAGGGAGTAAAGGCAGACTCTGAAAAAGTCTACAAAGGAGGCGACCCTTGAAGCTGCAGAAGAACTCATTCCTGTTGATTGATGAAAGCCCTGGTCGTGATGGCATCCAAATGTAACAATTCGGGGACATTAAAGGCGCCAACTCTTCTGCTTCACCTGCTGCAGACCAGCTGGGAACAAAGTGGTCATTATCCCACTGTATTCTGCTATGGCGCTCCCTGTGGTTCAGAATCTGCTCAATTATCTTCTCCTCCTGGGCTAAGCGTGTTGGCAGGTGTGTCCTTTCCATTCCGTTCACCTCTCCTACTGGAGGATTAGGGAGCGAGGGGGGCATCGACTAATGCTATGGCTCCAGAGCTGTTAACGGCACTGCCCTTTCAAGCCCGCTGGACAGACCAGTGATGAAAGAGCAAATGCTCATCTTTGCAGATGGAGCAAGAAGACCAGGCCTCAGATGACCACAACATACAACTGTCGCGAAGAGAGGGCACCGTCTGTCAGAGCTTTATCAATGAGTATAATCAGAACACAAATGCAGAATGGTGCATTTGACGGAGGGGGATGAATACGGATGCTCTGCCTGATCAGTCTTTGAGGGTATGAATACAATATTTTGTATAAGCCAATAAGCCAAAAAAATATAAACAATATTTAAGAACTTAATTGAATTCCAGCATGATTGATTCATAAATAAGTTCTATAAAAGATGTCAAAAAATAGTTCACTCAAAAATGAAATGTCATCATTTACTCACCCTCATTTTGTTCCAAATATATACAACTTTCTGTCTTTTGTGGATATTTTAAAGAATATTTCAACAGTTTTTGTGCATACAGTGAGAGCCAATGGGGTCCAAAACAACACTGAACTCCATTAACTTCCAGTGTATTTGTTCCACAAAGAAAAGAAAGTCATTCAACTTCATGACATGACAGAATTGTTCATTTTGGGAAATACTGAGTATACTGTATTTTAGACAAATACAGTTTCCAGTCTATTTTTGCTCTGCCAATGAAAATAGTTCAACAGTCCCCAAAAAAAAAAAGCTGAAGTAGGATGAACCGTCACATGTTGCTCAGCATCTCAGACTGAAACAAGTGGAGTGCTACAAAGTAAAAGTTCCAGTGCGTTTATCAGCAACATCAGCGCTCTCAGAAAACCTCTCACCCAATCAATATAGAGGACAAGAACTAAGGAGAATTATTTGCAAAGGCAATCAGTAGATGCATATTCTCATTTCCATGTACATCCTCTCAGATTCAGACATTTTCTTGTGTGCTATTTTTTCCTATGCATGAAAGGAATACAGATCAGAGTATTTGAAAACAAGACGTTAAGTAACACAGGCTTTACTATGCCACAACAGACAGGGGAATCGTCATGGCGACTGCTTTGAGAGGATGAGGGAGAGGCAGTTAACATTGGCATATAAAACAGCTTCACATCAGAGGTGGCTAAGTTAATGTCAAACAGCGGCTTAGATTTACCGGTGAAAGAGCGAGGGAGAGATAGGCTTAAATAAGCCCTTGCTTAATTTTAGCACCATGTGTGACACTCACAGATTTCCATTCATCCTTTTCTAAAGCCATGCTATTTATTTTAGAGGCTTTGTTTCACAAAATACATTCTCTTTAGCATTCATAGGACAAAAATGTAGATTTAATTCATTTCTGCCATTATGAAAACTGTGACAGAGGTGTGGCCACAGCAACGAGAAAAATGAAAGCCATTATTACATCCCTACTGAAAAGACCCGCTCCTTTATGAAACGGCAGTCATATTGAGAACGAGGATTGAAAAGTTTTACTTTTATAATTGCGAGCAAATAGTCCTCCAAACTGGTCGGCCAGAGTGGAGTGATTTTCCATTTGTCGCAATCATGGGCAAACAAAGCAGTTATTTTACACCTGGTTTCTTACAGGCTCTTGGCCGCATTGTTACTTAAAGCACATCATCAAAAGACGCCACCGTCATGTTTACCAAACCCAGCCTCAAACATGTTGTGTGGTGCGACACCGAACAAAGATGTTGAAATGACAAGAATAAGTGAAGTGTGTTCAATCATCCTCTTTGGAAATGAATAGGAAAGAGGAGTACGCCTGGATGGAGTGATATATAGAGAGAAGAGAAAGAGAGAGCCAAATGGAGGACCTACTGAATGGGCTTCTCACTTCTCATCTGAATTCACTGCAGATCCAGAGAAAAAATAAATAAATAAATAAATGAGATCTACATATATTGCTTTGAAAACAGCGACATGATGGCAATAAATCAGCTCGAGGAGAGGCAGGCAGAGAAGAGCGTGACCGTACACGCAATGGGTCAGGTGAAGTGAGGTGTGATTAATACCGAGGATACCAGTGTGTGATGATACAGTAAGAGTTTGACAGGGTTGCTGACATGCTGATAAGAATTTGATCTATCTGACCCCACCAACCATGTTTCTTCTAGTCTGCAGTTTAATTCATATTCAGCCACACAACACGTCCCGTTAAAAGACAACACGAAAGGGCTGTCAGAACACATTTCATTTCCATATCATGACATTTTCCAAGAAAACTTATTTCAGTGGGAAATAATGTTGATGTTATCAATCGTATTTGATTGTATTGCAAAAATCCAGCTGTGATATTATTGGTTAATATTATTGAGGGGTCATGGTTTGGCTGGTTAGCATGCACAAACAAACAAACAAACAAAAAATAATAGTTTATAGTTTATTGTAAATACTGAATATATTTCATGTTAATAAATTATTACATTATTAAATTAATTGATTATAATAAAAACAACAACATCAGCAAACAACAAAAATAATGTTCACCAAAACATAAAAATAATATTCACCAATGTCATAGCTGGATCTTTAGTTTATAACATTAACAATGTTACCTAAACCTAGGTAATATTGCTAATTTGTCCACAATAAGACTATCAAGTTATTCTGAGAGTAAATAACTACTATATCAATTAAACTAAATAAATATTGGATTCATGTTGTCTTTAACTTCCCAAGCCATTATAAAATGTGCATATTTTGCAAAGCCGACAAGCTTAATTATTTTGCAAAATAGTGTGTAGACAAAAAGAGTAAGAGTCAATAAAAAGGGGAATGAATGCAATAAAAATACATAAATAAGACTGTTTTCTGTGGCACTGCTGTAGCTTTCTTTTCTAGCAAGGAATCTTGCCCACTATGTCAGCCTCCCACTCAACCTCTGCTGAAAACCCCACTTATTGCTTGATCAGCTTGTTGCTAGGCTACACCAGAGAGGGTAAAAAAAGACTGTTATCAGAGAGAAGAGAAATCTCCTGAACAGTGAGAGTAGCACACCCAGGAAAATAAGATGGTAAACAGAGTATGTGCATCAGCTACAAAAGTGAACCACATAAAACATACAAGGTGTGACAAGATGCAAATGACAGGATCTTCTGAGGAGGAACATAGACACTTTGCTCTGCCATCATGAGCTGCTCTCTGCGCTAGACTAGATTCGATGTCTTTATTCCGGAAACAATGTGACTTAATTCTCGTGCATTGTGCTCGTTTTGTACCACGGGGTGCGTTTCCAACACAAACAAGCATCTTAACATGAGCAGAAACACATATTTGCAACAGGTCGGGACACCGATTCCACAGTCGGATTAACGAATGGAGAAGCATGCTTGACATTTTACCAACAAGGCATTTCCTGACGATTTCGATAATGAGAGAGAGGACAGGAAGCACTGAGATGACTAACCCTTTTCATAACATAAATGCCAGACCAAAAAAGCTCCATGCCACAACTACAGAACACAAAGATAAGAAGCACTACATTTAAAACCAATTTGTTTCATGAGACAAAGCCCCCTGGGTTCACCTTGTGTTCTCTTAGCATGACCGAAAACCTTTTGTAGGATCAAAAACTGCTTTGGATTATTGGAAAGTGCACAATGATTCAGTTTAACATCGCTGCCAGGCTGATATAACTGTACAAGGTTAACATTGGCCTTGTGACATGGTATTTAGAAATGCAGTGAACTGTACAAAAGCTCAATTATAGCTCTGCTACACAGTCAAGCCTGACCACATTCTGTAGGCACGTCCAAATTATGTACATGCAAAAGAATAGCCCTAACCTTTAGATGTTCTACCGCTTGTATTTGGTTTAACCTTTTCCATATAGAAAGTTGCAGATATATGTAAACAAACGACGATGCCTCAACTCGATCGGTTCGTGAGGTGGTCGGGGGTGCAGAAAAGTGTCAATTTTGAGGTATGGTCAACAGGCACAACATGATGGCTAATTAAATCATTAGAGGGTGTTTCACAAGGCACAGGTGACATAATTACACAGTATCACGAAAAGCCTTTATACTAAATCTAACACATTTACACAAGCATCTGCCACTGCAAACTGAGAGCCAGGATAAAGGGCTTAATGAATTGAGAAAGCGCTTTCGTGGTATATTGTAAAACACAATAAAGCCCATGAGCTATGCAAATGATCCCCGTTCTGTGATTTGCGTGTGGAGCTGGCGCACCAAGGTGGAGTATAATGCCATCTGCGTCATGTAGAGAAAAGGCTCTCCGTTCATTTATCAGAAAGTCATTTGGACGTCATTTAAATTCATGAAAAATGATTGCGGGGTGGATTACGAGTGTCTGTTGGGAGCTGTGTGAGGACTTGAAAAGGTGAGAAGTCAAAAATGCCAACAAGGACTCGGGAAGTGCTCATGCAGGTGGGGTGGATGTGAGACGCGGCCTGGAATTACACGGCGAATGCTCTGAGAGGAGCGTCATGGCAAACAGGTGGGTCTTTGCGGATGAATGGCAATAGGGATAAAGGATGTGACATACGGACGGACAGACACACACATATACAGCAAATCCACATTAGTTTCATTCCCGCATCCCGTGCATGTCGCCGTTACGTGCCGTACTGTACTCAGCTGGCATGCAGAGAATGCCATGCTGTGCTGGCAGAAGAAGGAGGGAGAGGTACCAACCGTGAGCTGCGGCTTCAGTGCTGGGCGCAGCGTCTGAGCACACGAGGAGGGGTGGTGCGGTGTAGGAAGGAGGAGAGAAACAGGAGGAACAGCATGCATAAAAAGGAGAAATGGGGGGAAAAAACAAATGGAACTGATAAGCAAGCATTTTCACACAATTACAACAGTGACCAACACTTTGAAACAATGACAAGAGGACAAAATCAAATGTTTTGCACATCAAAACAAACAGGGCATCATCACGCACAGCTAAGACTAGGGATGTCAAAAATACTTTGGTACAAAGAACCCCACAGATTCCAATCCACCATCCTCAACAAAACCATCTCAATATCGAAGACTGAGATTTCTATGGTTACTCTATTTAGTACCTGATTAGAAATGGATACATATTTTTAATCTTCAAAATCTGTTCATCCCAAAAAAATTAATTTATTCAACCTCATGTCATTTCACACCTGTATGACTTTCTTATGTAAAAATCACACACACAGACAAAAAATATATATATTTTGAAAAATGTTTTTGTATATACAATAAAAGCCAATGGGTTCAAAACTGGACCCCATTACATATTGTATGGACCAAATACATACATACATACACACATAAATAAATACATACATTCATAAATAAATATATAAATAGAGACATTCTAAAAAATATAACCTTTCATGTTCCACAGAAGAAAGTTAGTTCCCATATTTAATTACCGTATTTTCCCCTTTAATTACAATGTTTTATTATATAAAAAATATATACCATTTCTAATCATTAACTGAAAAATGACAACAGAAATTTTGGTGAACTATCCATTTAACGTATTTTAAATCACACATCACACATCATATTATATTACAAAAATTTCACTTTCTTTTGTGTTTTCAGTTAACAGCTTAGCCTGTTAGCCTAACTGATTATGAAGCTCTATTACAAGATATTTTTGGCATTGAGGAAGGGGAATATGATTCTGTGGTGGGATCTGATTTGTGTCAAAATATCAGCTCTCAAGAATCATAAAATGTCTAAATTGGTCATGCCTGAATCGCTGGCGTGTGCTGCTTTGTAAACACAGAACATTTTCAAATGGTGCTGACAATCACTGCTGCACCCTAGATCAATATAGCGGGACCACATGACTCTCAATAAATAATAACTACATAAAATTACCTTTTCATATGCTTGCCTTTCTTACCTTCGAACCAAGCTATTGAGTCAAAAGTAGAGTGTGGCACATTAAAATCACATGGACTGACTTTTAAGGCAAATCACTATTATATATGACATATGAATATGATGTAAAATTGTATATGAATGACAACTGAATGTCTTTGCAACTATTGTACGTAATTAGTCATTAAATTGCACCAGAAGGCCTCTGACGTTTTGAAATGTTGATAACTCAGCGTAAACCTACATTACCGCTCCTAGGTAATTCCTCTGATATAACAGAGGAATTCAGACTGCCTTTCTGCTTTGAGCTGATGAAATGCCTCGACTGAAATATGGAAGCGAATGCATAACACGGGGAATGTGAGCCCTTATCCTGGTGCATTTCCTTAGAGCAGAGAGCACTTCAAACACACCAGGAGAGCCGTGATGCAGAGGTGCTCGTTATGGGACGAAACATTAGAGATGTCAATCACTGTTAGGGCAACACAAACTTTGCCCTTAAAGCATAACTTGGCGTTTCTCGGCTCGATTAGATAGGATCTAGTCCTAATCCAGTTGTTGGCTTTGATGATTCAGGTTCAGTTGAGTATTCCTCAATATTTATCAGAGATTGACGGAAAGAAGCGGTTCAGATGGTGTGTAGAATACCAAGTAATTCCGTATATGAGTTAGGCAAATGTAGATGAGTGAGGCACGTTCATTGGATCACAAGATGGAGATCAAGAGCGCCGGTTTCTTTTAGATGGAGAGCTTCTTGGAATAGAACATGAGTGTGTCACTGAGCAGTAAAACACAGAAATGAATTACTGTATGAATGCTGGATTAGCATTTTAGTTTTTACGTGCCATTTAGAAAACAATTTTTTATCCAATGCGACTTGTAGTGCACTCTTGAAGGGGGCAGCCGCCCTGAAGTAACCTGGCCTTTATATTTTGCCCTTTCCAGTGTTTGAACCTGGGACCTCAGGGTTACAATATGAGATCTATACTATATGTGTGGGTTGTGAACCAGAACTGACCTGGTTTCTGTTTCTAACTCAAGACTAGATTTACAGAATGTCCCATGAATTGGAAAATTCAGCGATTTTTAGTAAAATGTGCTCATAGAGTGATAAACATTTACTGAATATTATTTTTACGGAGGCTGGTCATTGCATCTGTTGTCTTTCTTCAATAAAAACTGTGGAGACTGCAAATCAGATACAAAGGAAATGCTTCTCAAAAGATAAAAGCCTAATTTTAAAGTGATTATGAGTGATAAAATTAGTATATTATAGATTATCATCTTGCATTTTCTAATAACCATAAAATAAACAACTGCTGAAATTAACACTAACTAAACTAAAATGTGAAATGAAATCTGAAAAACAGTATTAAAAATTGAAAAAAATAAAAAATAAATAAACTTGCAGAACACTACTTACTGAACCACCACTTAAAAATATCTTATTTCAGTCAAATGAAAAGAGAAGGTCTAATTTGATTATGAGTGACAAAAATAGTATACATATATTATCATTTAAAAAAAATTATAAAGTCATATTATAAACATAAAATTATAAAACCATAACATGAAAATAAGAGTGCTAAAAATAGCTACAAGTAAACAAAATGTGACATTAAATTTATTTATAAAATAATATTGAGATAAAGAATTATTTGAAAATACTAAATTATTAAACTTACAGCATTCTACTTACAGAACCTCCACTGAAAATGAATATTTTTTTATAATCATCATCATTATTTATTTATTCATTTACTGTATCTTATTTCAGTCAACTTAAATGAGAAAAGCCTTGTTTGAAATTGATAACATTAGTGTACATGAACACATCTTGCCTTTCTAATCAAATTCCAATTCATGAATTCAAAAAGGAGACCATTTTTGAATTCTGAAATTTGCTGAATGTATTTTGATGAGGTTTGTGAAAAAGCTTCAGGCATGCTACAAAAGCTAAGTTCATGTAGCCAAGAACTACAGAGAGCACGCTTTACTTGCAATCCCCGCTGTTAGGCCTTTAGGTAAAGAGCCTTTAGGAGGTCAGGAGACCCATTTCAACACACTGTGTTAGTGTTAGACTGCTCTTTAGTCCTCAAAAAAAAACAAAAAAAAAAAACTCTCTCCATCATTAAAGGCGTTCATCTGGCACAAAGGCACAGCACGGCCTTTAACATAATCACTAAGGAAACTTCTCAGCATACCGCTGACATTAGGTCGTTCAAAAGGGCTTCCACCATCAGAAAAATAAACTACTTGAATAACACTGCACTTACTGCTGCACAGCAAGCCTTTGTATAGGTCTCGAGCCACTGCGTCGTTTGAAACATTGTCAAACATGAACTGTCAAGCCCCTCTGAAAGTGGGCACTGAGTTCTCGAGGCAAAGAGTTCAAGGAGAGAGTCCTGAGATGAAGCATGAGCCTACGAATAAAACACAATCAAAATGAGCAATAATATCTACAGGTTATTATTTGACATTAAGAGGGAAGTGGAGGGTTTCCATCACTCCTTGCATGCTGCGATTCCCATCAGGCAGATGGTTTGGAGCATGTTCTCGCAGAGAAGGGAGGAGACACGGAGAAAGCAGGAGGGACGTAAGGGAGCTGTCCTGGTTATTTACTACTATCCAGGGACAGAAAAAAAATATATGGAGGAACTGATCCAAAATGAGCATTACAATTTTCAAGCTGTCCTCCATTCATCAGAGGGCCTCTGGAAGCCTGCTAAGCCCATTACTGGTTCAGGCAGAAGTCCGTCAATAAGTCTGCTGATGAGCAACGGCCTTCCCCCTTGTGCATGGCCCTTTGTTTCAGTGTGGGTCACCTGAGATAGTGTCCTTGCTTACATCAGCAGCTGATATCAGCAGAGATGACAATAGGCATACAGCTTCGTGGCTAATTGCAACAGCTTTGTGTGGCACAGGAGACGACAGCGAAATATGCGCCCAGTGCCCAAGGGAAGGGCACAACTGCTGAATTTCAGCAGCACACAACTCTTCATTCAAAATGTGAAAAAAATATACTAGAGTAACATTATTGTGATGAATCTATTGTGCAAAAAAAAAGCTTCATTAATGCTGTTTATGTAAACCCCCAAAAGAGCCTTTAATGACACCGAAAAGGTGTTTTCCTGCAAATAGTCAGCTATTAAACTAATTATATTAAACTGACTGAAATAAAAAATTTAATTTGAGAATACTATTTAAGTTAAACCAAAATTAAATAAAAAATGCAATATTAATCTTAATATTAACAATATTAACTTTGCAGTACACTAAATTACAGAACAACCAGCATTTTAAAATAATATATGTATATAATTGTATATATTTATTTATATATAATATTTATTCTTCTATTTATGTCTATCCATTCATATTATATTATGAACAGTGATTATATATAATAATTAATAAAAAATTTATACATATTGCATATTTTATTTTATTATAAATATGCATCTTTTTCATTTTTGGGTGAACCACCCCCTTAACTACTTGACGACATATGATCAATCCCTAAAAACTTAAAATGAAGAGAAGGTGAGGTTTGTATAAATGTAAGTAAGTAAGTACATTTTATTTACAGAGCACATTTAAATTCAGCTTACACTGACCAAAGTGCTGCACAGAACAATCATAAAATACAGTAAAATATAAAATATAATTTGAATAAAATCAAAGATAACAGTTACTAATCCATAAGTTAATAGTCAGGAAAGGCTATAGAGTAAAGATGTGTCTTAAGTCTAGATTTAAAAGCAGAAATAGAAGGAGCACTCTTAATGTCAGGTGGCAACTGATTCCATAACCGTGGAGCAGCAACTGCAAAGGCTCTGTCACCTTTAAATTTAAGTCGT